GTGCCTCAGCTGTGTGCCTACGCTCACTCCCAATTTGTTCTTGGTTGGCGTGGTTCACTCGGTACGTGTGAAGGACTTTGAAATTATTCTGCCAGGCTTTACCTCTGGGTCACGGATGACAAGTACACCGTCAATTATGATGAATGCTTTTTGCGGATAAGAACGCTATAAGAAACAAGGCCGTCTGCTATTTTCCTTCCCTCGGCTGCTTCAAGCATGCTTGCAAAATCAAAAAGGTCGCTAGCAGTATCTCAGCCCCCGTGCTCCAAAATAAAAAAATACTATAGGTTGTATGGAAACTATGCGCCGAAATGGTCTTACAGCTGAACCATTGCTTCTAATTTTACTTCAGAGAAGATAGATCACATGCCCGACTGGCTTTATGGATGTGGGGGTGTGCAACAAGGATTAATTGTTTAGCTGCAACATTCTTCCGGTGCCTGGCTGCCTTGCTACCCGGAGGAAGCACGAGGGCTGGGGTAATGCCAGGCTGCCCAAGCCTAGACGAAGGAAATTGAGAGGTAGTGGTCGGGTTCCAACCACAGTTGTTCCGGTCCTTCATTTCGCCATGTCACCCCCAACCAAAATATCAGTTATTACTTCCGTAAGCTGTGGTAGTTTAGCCATGTACTGTGCACACCATGTTGGTTTTTAATCGAAAAGTGCATCACTTTCCTTACCCAACTCAGATTAGCGCAAGCATACCAGTAACTAAACTCCCACCTGATACAAGGGTATGAGGGAGTTTACGACAAGTCAGTGTGACCCGCCCTCCAGGACGTAGTGGGCGTGGTCCCCATGCACGGTTGGAGGCGCTGCAAGGTATGGCATCTAAGCGATGTCAGTTGCGTTGTCCATTTCCATCCAGTGTCTAAATGAACACCTAAAAATGGTCCAGCCATAACCATTTCATTGCTTAGCTGTCATGCCACTCGAAGTAAGCGCGAGGCCTGAGATACCGCCAAATTGCTCAAGCCTAGCCAAGAGCAGTCGGGATGCAGAGGTCGGGTTCGAACCGCGGCCCTTCTGGTCAGTACGTTTGCGCGTTAGCCACAGCTATCTCGAGCCCAAATGAGCGTGTGGAGGTGTATATACTTCGGAATGACTGGCAGGCCAGCACTAAGTCCCATTCCCATCCAATTTTATTTTCCACTCAATAAGGCATTCAAGTGAGTTGTGGCGGTGGAGAATTATTTCGAATAATTAGTCACCATCTGTAACTGGTGGCGATATTGTCAATTTGCTTCCACGGCTGGCTCGCCGGCTTTGGTGTGCACAAAACAGTCTGCGGCCATCGTGTGCGTGAAGCGGTTGTTTCTCGTCTATGCTTACCGAGTCTAATCCTAGTGGACCACCCAAACGAACCTCAGATGCGCTCAGTCCGGTCACTTGTGCATGCGAATCTCCGGCAACCACAGGGAAGTATTGGCGTAAGCCCTACCCGTACCTGGGCACTCATGGCGTCATAAAAGGTTTTTTCTGGGGTAGATTGTCGTCCCGCTTGCTTCACAGTACAAGTATACAAACAAACCGGGCGTTAAGAATTGAGGACTAATTTCGAGATGCTCGAGGTTATAGGAACCGATTGGCGCGCAAATGCTACGGTCAAGATGGTGGTTTCTGTCGGGAAACGCCAGGGCACTAACTTTTATGGACAAGTCGCCTCACGTGTTTCCACTCACAACCTGGATGACCAGAAACCTGTGCATGTGGACCTTTGGCCAGCGCGGTATGAGATCTGAAAATCTCGTACGGACGATGTTATAACTGCTGATTCGTCAACCTCTGGTATCTACTGCTGACCCGCTCCAGTGCCTAGTTGCCGGAAAAGAGACTCACAGAAGGGAACACAACAGCTATATTCCGAACAAGCGAGTTCGAGAGCATGAGTGCGTGCGAGTGCGAGAGCAAAAGATACAACGGCCCCATGCTATTTAAAGGGGACTTTCTGACATTGATCCAGGCTGCCTGGTAGGCGTTAGTGAACAGCCATTAACATCATCATCATCGACAGCATGACATCAGTGTTTAACACCGATGCTTCACTGCCGTAGAACCATTAACATTGATCGTGCCTCTATGAAATGGCTGAACGCAGATCACATTCGGTAGTGCTTCCGTGGCGTGCATGAACACTCATCAGCTTTTGCTGAATTGATAGGATGATTGAGTGGCCTGGATGCTTGCCGGCTTTCCTGTTGAGATTTTTGTGGAGCAGTAAGTTTCGGGCGTTCTGAGGTTACGTTCAGGAATTTGACCTTCCTGATAGACAACCCCCCGTATAGTTCAGTGGGTCAGGGGTGCGTACAAATTGCAGCGCTACAGCATGTTTCAGTCTCTTCGACACGAGATGACAAGACATACGGCAATGACAAGCTCAGTCGTAAGGCGCCTACTTACGGACCGGAAGGTTCATGATTTGAACCTAGCCTGAGCATCTCGACTGCTCCTGTCTAGACTTGGGCAACCTAGCAGTATCACAGCCAGATGCCGAAAGGCTAGACCCGGAAATAGGGGTCTTAATGAAAGACAGAATGTTGTGATGGTTGGTCAGGATCGCAGCCGTAACAAATGGATCTGCAATCAGTGGCAACAGTGCTCCGCTGTATTGTGACGAATGCGTACTTCTGCAGCGCCATGCATACCGTCGACCACCAATCGCTGTATTTCGCGACCGTAAATAGCCCTCGACTCTATGGGTAGATCATGTCTTAATATTTATGACACTAGAGGATGCCCTTAATCTGTGTAAACATCCTCCACGCCCGTTATTTTCATACCAGCGTTGCTTTAGGTTGCGAAATGTGCTTCCAGAGGGCTCCCCACAACTAGTGAGTTTCGTCAGTCCTGTCTGTGTCATTCGTCACCATAAATCTAAGTATCAAATCCATGTCCGGGGCGAGAATAATAGGCTTGACATATATGAACGAAACCTTTTCATCGTTGATTGTTTTTTCCGCACAAAATAGTCTGAAATGCGCTTCGATGTGGTCGAGGTAGGTAAACCTTCATGAGGCAAGTTGAAACGAAAGCGGTCATAGTCAAGCACAGTTCCTTGTGATCTTCGTGTCACGTAGTCCGCTTTGCACATGAATGGAGACCCTGGATGGCATGACTTGCAACCGATGCCGGTGACGAATGATTTCCTTTCCTGGGCTTGTTGGCTAACGAAAGCTCACCCGACGTATATCCAGTGGGGTCCTCGAAGAAGGGGGACTGAGATAGTTCAGTGGTTAGAGCGAGAATTTACTGACCGGAATGCCCGTGGCTCGAACCCGAATCACGACTTCTGTGTAGGCTTGGTCAACCTGGCAGTGTCCCAGTCTCCGTGCTTCCTTCGGGTCTTCCAACTGAACGACTATGACTATGCCTCGAAGGACGGTAGTTCAATCTCACTGAGACTCTCCTCGAGTAGGTACTCAGCTTTGATCCTTTTCAGTCATCCAAATTTATTACCTATAAGCCGTATATCATAGGCACATTGGCTACACCTGCCACAGTTTCGATCACCGGAAAACGGGAGAACGTGGGATATACAGCCCGGCCTTGGAGGCTGGCTGGCCACGTGTTCCGTAAAATTAGTAATGCATTTGCATTTCCCGCCAAACGCCGCTGCCTGGCGGTTAGGCCCTTGAGCCAAAGGCTTCGGTTGAGGACCCTAATCGTCCTGTCTAGATGTGGGCGCTCTGACTATCCCAGCCCACGTACAACCATGAACATCATAATTGTACGCCAGCGAAGCCTCGGTGTTGAACACTGATGTCACGATGGAGGCGACGTGTTCAGTTTGTTGGGAATTTGGAATATATAGACAACTCATTGTAGTTCAGTTTTTCAGAAAAACATAGAACTTGTCTGCACTGAGTCTCTGTTCTTCCCCTCTGTTTACAAAGTCTGGCGTCATGATTGTATGAGAGTCAGGAATCAGCATTTATCATTGGTGTGTTGCTGTGAATGATGATGGTGACTGAAGTATATATTCTTGCATCTCAGTCACCACTGTCCACCGGGATATTGTGGACTTGATAGAACCGAATACTATTTTTTCCAGCGGATCATCTAGAACCTGTAAGCTAAGCTTTTGGTTGAGGCGTACTAGAAAGTACAATGAAGGTCAGCTGCATCTTTGTAGCGTCCCAGTTTAAAACCTCCGTGCACGTGAATATGGTTTTGATAAACCAAGCAGAACGATTCACTGTGCCCACAAGCCTCGTCCAGCATTGGCATCTTTCTGTTCGGTTATATATACCAACTGTTTCCCTTAGCGCATATGTCATAGCCTTCTCAAACTGTGCACTTCCTTTCTGTTCCTTATTGCAGTATCTGTACTGAAGTCCGTCATGTGGAGAGATGCAATCCTTAACTCGACTGCTGTGTCAGACAGTTCTGAGGCGAAATGTGAATTGTCGCTTACCAGGACTATCGCGTTGTTCGTTGAGTGCATCTAAAAGTTCACACTCCGATGAGAGCAAGTCCGTTCAGCCGGTATCGGGCATCTCTACATCTCAAGAAGACGTTTATGAGATCCAAGATGTGGATCCGGAACAACAGTGGGAAGAAGATCCCGAGTTTGACTATGCATCCCTGGTTCCAGTGGCTTCAGATTACGATTTCATCTCAACCGATGGTAGTGAATCTGCCGATATAATTATCATATAAAGTTAAGAATTTTTCCAGTTACAGGAGATTCATACGCTTCTGCAGCAAGAGAATATACGCGATCCGATATGCATCCGACTTCCACCGAACCACATCACCGACTTCATGGTCATTGGCAGTGGTGTGTCGAGGACTCATGTTAGATCCACGGCAGCACTCGTCTACAAGATTGTAAGTTTTACGACTACTTGCTATACTTCATGGCGACTTTCTCTTAGTTGAAAATGAGTCGGTTTCAAAAATGTAATAAACTGCTGTTTCTCCAAGGGTTTGATTTTATTATCATGATCATCATCAAATACAGTAACATCAGTATTGACACTGATGCTTCACTGCCGTACAACCATACGGTTCGTCTAAGTATATTTAAAGCCCTAGAGTGGAAAGAAAAAAGAGTGGATGAGGGAGGGGACCTAGTGCTGGCTTATGTCAAGCGTTCTGAGGTGCCTACATCTCCAAACGCTCAATCAGACAATCTAGAGAGAAACTGACAGCACGAACACCACTGACATCGATTAGCCGCCATTTCTTCCAATGTCTCCAGCCGAGCACAGGTAGGATCACGGGAGCCCCATCCTGGTGGTCGTACGACACCCAACCTCTTCGTTGTCTCTTTGACGCCTTTCTGTCAAGTCATGTGCTGTCCACCTCGCGGTTTGCGCCATCCTGAAAGAGGCACGGAGAACAACACTCGGCTCGGTAGACGGTGTTTCTGCATGCGTAGCACATGACCGAGCCATCGCAATCGATGATGCTGGATGTTTTCCCGGATCGAGGTGCCTGCAGCACAACCAAATACCCGTTTTCTAATCGCCTCGTTGCTGACACGCTGACGCCAGCCACGCTTCTGAGGCATCGGTGGTCGAAAACCTGAAGACGCGTCACATCATCTGTCCGCAGAGGCTATGTCTATACAACAATACAGCTCTTACTGTAGCCTGGTGCACACGACCCTTAAGATCTAGTGAGACGCCTTTTCGACACCACAAGTTACGCAAATTAGCAAGCGCGATTCAAGCTTTTCAGATTCTCGCACTGACTTCATCAGACACACCTCCGACAATTACTGAGGTATGTAAAATTTTCCGCAACCTCCAATGATTCTCCTTTAATTGTAGAGGTCATGTTCGCGGACGAAAGGTGGTATGATGGTGGTCGGTCTATTCAGCAGACCTTGTGCTTCACATTATTCTTCAAAGATGAGGGCAATATCATCTGCGTACTCCAGATCAACAAGGCTCTCGCCAACAACAATTTTAACACGGGTTTTGAAGACATTCCAGCATTCGCTTCATTTTTTTCAAATAGGCTAGACAGCTACCGGCTGAAAAGTCCACCACCATTTTTGAAAAGAGCATGTGAAAGGTCGTCAGGACTAGCATCACGATGACGCTTGAGTATGGGAATACACTCGGACACTTCTGAGGCTGAGGGCGACTCCTTATTCACAGTCCACCCTTTCGTTGGAGGCAGGAATTCTGGATTGGAGGTAGCAGGTGGCCAGCTGAATTGCTGCTCGAAGTACTATGCCCAGCGGTCCAAACGTTCCGCTTTGCTGCATATCAAGGAACCATTTTGGTCCCTGGTTATTTCGCTAACAAAAGGTTTCCGAGGACCAGTCGAACGAATCAAGTGGAACAACTTACAGACGTTTCCAGCATTCTTTGCATCTTCCATTTCTTCGGCCTTTCGGTTCCAATAAGCTTCTCGGTCTGCACGGATATTCAGTTTCATTTGGCGTCGGGTGTAGTTGTGATTGCGGCCACGAGTGAACTGTCGCTGACTCTCCAACAAAGGCACGGTCCTATCAGAGATCCCATGTTTGGATGAGGTTGGCTGTGTTGTATCACAAACAGACGTTCCACCTTTGAGTAGCACTTTAGATATGTCTTCCCAATGGCCGTCTATATCTGATGTCGTACTGCCCGGCAGGCATTCGAGGAGCTGGTTATTATGATTTGATTTGACTTCTTTGTCCACTGGCTTCTGAACGGCTAAACGAGGTTCACGCGATTAGTGTCCACCTTAAAAGCTCAATGCAAAGCGGCGGTGTACAAGTGCATGGTCGGAGTCCACGCTGGCGTTCCAAGACGACCACCCAATCGGGTCTTAACAGCACCTAGTCTACTTAACTGGGCGTTCATATCACTAGCAACCACAACAATATCTGGGCTTTTAGTCCGCTTAATAGGGGCACCTATAGCGTCATAGAAACTGTCCTTGGCAGATTCAAAGCTATAGTCAGTTGGGAAGTAAGCTGATACAATAAACAGGGTACGACGGGCCTCACTTCCTCTAGATTCCGTCACAGATATTATCACACGAACTGCGCAGAGGCGACTACCAACGAGTGTCCAATCAAGCATAGGCGCTTCCGCTTGGTCGCTCAATACAATACACATCCTAGCTTATCCAGTTGCAGTGGCCCCTGCATCACCAGAGGTGCGCAGGAGGAACCTGGAAGAGAGCGAGGGGACAGTCAGTTCGATTACAGTACTTGCGTCCTGCGTCCTTGTTTCTGACAGACAACATACATCAATACAGAGGGGATCCAGCGTACGCGCAAGAGCTACCTGTTGATCTGCTTGCTTCAGTGTGCGAACATTGAAAGTGGCTAAGTAGACAGGCTTTCGGGGTTTGAAAACAGACTTCGAAGTGTTAGGGACGTACAGAAGCTGCAGCTAAGTGTGATACAGGGCGAGAAAAACTGTCGGTCCAAGTGCTGGGACCTGCGAAGAAAGTATTTAAATTTGGGTGGGTGGTGGTGGAAGACGGAAAACTTGAAAGTGTAAGAAGGGAGGCGTCAGCGTAGCATGTTTTCGCTTACCGGCCCTGCTGTATGCAGCAAGTAAGGCGACCCGGCTGATGGCACTGTTGCAAGCATCATGGTTGCACGAGGGCTGGAATACTGCCAGGGCACCCACACCTAGACAGGATGGCGATTAGGGTCCTCAACCAAAGCCTTTGGCTAAAAAAAACCTAACCGCAAGGCAGCGGTGGTGGGCTGAAAATCCCAGTACATTACCAATTTTACGGAACACGCCGCCACACATGTTCCAATCCCCAACTTGGTATCTCCAGGGCTTTAGGTGCGATTCCTGTTCTAAGTACCTCATTACTTTTCACACGCGAGTAGCCCGATTGACTATCTTGACTGGTCTATCCTCATGAACGCGTGACTTGGGTTTACCATAGTGCAACTGGAATGTAGATTGATTCGGCTCACACGAGGCGCAGCTTTTCGTGATCTGGTCACATCTTCCTCAACGATATCTAAAGATGGCTGATGCTAGAGAGTTTCTTCGATTTACCCCGCCTAGGAATATTTTTACCACAGGGTGGTACATCTGATCCGTATGTGGTCAGCATTTATGTCGAAGGCCTTATTGTCCAATGGTTGTAATCGGTTTCAGTGCAGTAGTTTTCGAATCCTTTCGTGTCCCGTTCCTGCGACACTTGTTTGCGACGTGGTTCACTGCTCTGAATTCCACAGGGGCCATCCAGACGATATTGAATGTAATTACATGGTTTTCTGAACTACAAAACAACTAGGCGAATGATACTTCCAAAGGTGGTTGGCCCAGACATAACCCATTCCATGACCTCTTCGGAGTGATAAGCTGAATATATTAACCCAGGAAATTCAATTTTAGCTATATAATCCCGCAAAGAAGTATTGCGGCTTCGGAATTAGACTAGCTTCCACTGAGCGAGACGACGCTGAGAATCTAACGAATTTAACCGATCCCGACGAGCGAACCCTGAGTATGTACATTTTTCCTTCTGCAAGAATCTAGTACATCCCTTTGTTTGCTCATATTCTATTTACCATATGCGACGGTAGCTTGCAACCATCAATCTGTACCATGATGTCACTCGGTGAGCTTTCCACGTTGTTTTTTAGCTCCCAAGTGTACCGCATATGTATTCCTTCTGTTTTTCAGTTAAAATTCAAACGAAAGCACAGTTCGCTTGGCTTACCACGAGTGGAAGGCCTTGACGGATCTGGCGACTGGATCGCTCTAAATCTAGGTAGGTTTCTTTATCAACTTGCTGGATTCATGTTGAATATTCGACGTACTGGCTTTATTGCAGCTTAGTTGGGGCCGCCTGATCGGGAACTTCACCCTTTGGATCTAAGTGTTCAGTATATGAAGGTTTCACGTGACTCAAAATTCACGTACAGTGGGGAGTTTGAGAGAGAGTGAGAGAACTTTACCCTAAAAACTGAGCGATTGGTGTAATTCATTGGTCAAAAGTTCGTCTTTGATTCTTTCGAAAAAGTGACCATGACCATTTAGTGGTGTGACAACTCCCGGCTTTGACCCATCCCTGTATTTTTGACTAATTGAAACAGGACGTAAATATTACTTTATTGCCATTTCTTTAAATATGAGCCACCTTAGATTCACACTGAGGGGATACTCTCAATTTGAGAAACCTCACTTCAGAAAAACAGTCGGAATTATACTTGTTAGGATACTTAGGAAACTCCGATAAACTCGTTTGCTGGTTTTGCCCAGGCGCGCACATGCCAGATATTTTCATTGTCTCTGTGTTAGCTAGCAGGAAAATAATGTTGACATTTATTTTCCGTTTAAGTATGTGAAATTCATTCACGTGGTGGTTTACAAAGGTTTCTTTCGACATTCGAGTTTAAAGTACTTCTGAGAGAACATTGTTTAACGAATCCGCAGTACATAATTGGTCGGAAAGACAGAAAAATCACCGCAGCCCAAGTAGGATATTACTACAGGCACATGTTACACTGGGGCGGGTTAACCCAAGTGGTTAGAGCGCGAATTTACTGACCGGAAGGTCCGTGGTTCGAACCCAACCTCCGCCTCTCGACTTCCCGTCTGGGCAACCTGGCAGTATCCCAGCCCTCGTGTCTCCTTCGTGTGGCACGGGAGCTAGGCACCGAAAGGATGCTACAGCTGAACGGTTATTGTTTATTTTTGTTATGTTACATTGGAAATTTGAGAAACTGAAACTGCAGTGAACAGACAGACGGCTAACTTCATGTGTATCAAATATCAAAACGACCGACCGCGCACCAAACGGCTGCGACGCGTGTAATCCCCGCTGGCACTGCCGAACACTTCTGGAACAGCATATCTTGTCCGCAACTAAATAGGGCGGTACGGAAAACGGAAGCCCATTACACCTAACGCCTCAACCGCAACAGCTGACTTCAACAAAATACTCACGAATGTCATGCAGAACAGCCGAGTGTGTGCAATCATATTGTTCGTAGGACTCGTAGCCAACGATGTCGAAACCTGTTCGTTATTTGCTCGTACGCGGTGACAAACCACAGCAGTGACATCATTCATGTCTATGCAGATTTTTCCAATGTGTGCGGTTGTCGCTACCCTGGCGACTGGAACTCTCAAGTGAAAAAAGCACGACAAATATGGAAGCCATTTAAGCACCGAATTCGGCGTAGATGCTCCGCTAACTGAAAAGTGGTTGCTTCGTACGACTGAGTAGCATATCTTGTCCGCAACTAAATAGGGCGGTACGGAAAACGGAAGCCCATTACACCTAACGCCTCAACCGCAACAGCTGACTTCAGCAAAATACTGACGAATGTCATGCAGAACAGCCGAGTGTGTGCAATCATATTGTTCGTAGGACTCGTAGCCAACGATGTCGAAACCTGTTCGTTATTTGCTCGTACGCGGTGACAAACCACAGCAGTGACATCATTCATGTCTATGCAGATTTTTCCAATGTGTGCGGTTGTCGCTACCCTGGCGACTGGAACTCTCAAGTGAAAAAAGCACGACAAATATGGAAGCCATTTAAGCACCGAATTCGGCGTAGATGCTCCGCTAACTGAAAAGTGGTTGATCTATTTATCATAGGCTGTTGCCCTCCCAGCCGCAACCAACCGGGACCACATAGCAATGGGCTGTAGCTAGTGGTCGTTTTTTTCACAACTGTCCTTCCGTTTGTGAGATGTCTCCGGACTTAGATCATACCAGTGTTGCGACTTCTCCCTGTGCAAAGACCATTCATCAAAGTAACTCACCGTACACCAGATTCGTTTCCCGAAAAACCTAGCTGGATTGGCTTATCCTTCTTTGAACCGTCGCTGGTATATTCATACTGAGATCAGTTACATTTTGTAGAGCGGTGACACAAGCGTCCTTGTTAATTCAAATATTTTACCTAGTACTAATGCCATAACGTATGTATACTTTCCCAACGACTCCCACGTGTTATAGAGTGAACGCTGGGAATACAGTCACACCGCATGGTTCACTCAAACTCTGGAAATTCTCAGGGGTAAGAAGTGCTAGCTTCAATCAGTAACACTAGCTGCCTACTTTTCATCCGAACTGTGGAGCCTGGGGATGTTCAGGCCATTCCTTGAGGACCGTGTTGAGCCCATGAAGGATGGACCGGGCTAGCTCCGAGCGAGAAGCGTCTTTATAACGTTTATATCCCTACTCTAGTACACTATCGATATTCACCCATTGCAACACCTACCACACCTGTGCCTTAGAAACACGAGCGAATTGAACTAATGCGCACCCGCGATAGATTCTTGTTAAGATCGGTTTGATTTTGTAGTCTCGTCAGGATAATCCTAGGTATTGGAGTGCTATCAGATCCGCCTACGTCTACAACAATCGCCTTGTTTTTGTTACTTCCAAGCCAGCCCCAGTTTCGGATGCTTCACAGGTGCTGAACCGTGGATAGACCGGCCGGTGCTGGTCAGCTTGGTTGGCAAAAAATTCGATTTCGAGATCAAGATGGTGACTTATTTCACTGGTACATGACTTAACTGCCTCCGGCTGTTATCCCACAGCAGCGCGGAACTTGTTAAATCTGTTGTCCCTTCGGTTGATAGTCTTCTGTCGGTTTCGACGCGTTTACTGATAAATGGGTTATCTCAGTGTCTTGCTTATCTGAATGTCGGTGGAAAATTGGTCGGATTTGGTTTATTTTGGCACCATTTATAAGTGAGGCGACCTAATCAGCGTGCCTACTCTCATCTACCGAACATGATACAAACCAGCCACTGAAAAGATGAATGATGTGAAATTCGAAATGTGAACTCAGCGTTTAACTGTTAGCTTGGTAAATCATGTAGTTCAATCCGCAATGGATACGTAAGGTGTCATCGCTGCTGACGAAGTGAATGTGAGAATCGCTACAGCCTGTTCTGCTTTACTCTAACCCAGGCAGCTCTAACGTTGACCTAACGCCAGACAGTAAGTGAAAGATGGATTCTACAACACGGCAGTGTCTGCGAGTTTGAAGGTTTAACACAGGGCGCTTTAAACAAAGGATTTTTGTGTCAACCGTTAGTGCCTTCAGTGTCGTAAATATATCTTGGGAACACCGGATTATTACTTGATGTAACAGACACTTTTTGGCTGAAAATCATCCGCCTGTACAGCTAATGAGTCGAATGGGCCGCGTCATTCACGCTAGCTGAGCCATGTGCTTCACATACTTCACCGTACCGTGCTTGCTGAGGCACGTTCCGACAGGAATACACAGCAAACTGAGAAACGGATGATCTGGAGCTAGAGAGTGATGAACGTAGCATCGACCCTCAGTAGCAGGTATCGTTGTATAGCGTCTGTAGCGTCTCAGAAACCCACCACGTCACGGCATAATGATGTCATACAATCAATGAAATAACCTGCTATTTTTTCATTCGCCGCCCCTAGCTTCCTACAGTGCCTGCTAACCTAAGCTGTGAGATCTCAGATCATCGCAAATTGGCGTAAGAGGTACCGTCACTAAGTTTGTCACCAACTGGTGGTAGTTATGTTCCCGCCGAATCAGGAATGTTGCTAGTTTACCGTTTCACTTGTCACTTGATGGTGCCAGTTGAAGTCAACTCCTTGCGGGCGAAACTTTGTCAACGGATGAGTATATATCAATTACTTTACCTTGGGGCGAGAAAACCTTCCCCCGCTGGAAGATGATGGCAGGTAGCTCTGTGCTATATGACAACGAATGCACCTTTCCAATTGAGACTTCAGAGTAGCAGCACGCAATCATTTTAAACGTAGGTTGCCATCGTGTACCTAACATGTTTTCGGTTGTAGTGGTAGTTGCCGCACCAAATTTTCATTCGGCCGGATATCGTCACTGTTAGCTGTGAATAGGAAAGTGTTGAGATCGGGTATCGAGAAAGTGGACTGAATTGTTTTGGGAATACATTTTAGCTTCTCAACCCCGTACGCTATAATATATTGCCCGAATGTGATTGGACGGACGACCATACGCCTATCGTATGGCCCCAGAATGACTCATTCTGATCAGTCTTTGACAGTCTCGTGTTGACCACTGCCTGTCTAATCAAATGAATCGGCACCGTATAGTACCCAGTAGATACCGATCCCAAATACTTAGTGTCGGAATAAAAACGAAAAACAGTAGATTAAGAGGGCTACCCCCTTCTTCAATGGGAGGAGTGAAAGTATTTCGGGCCGCGGTTTCGCGATCTCACAGTATAATTTCTTGGCGGAACACACCACCCATAAGGTTGCTGAAGACTCTTCGACAGTCCACTACCGGTTTCACCAGTCTCAAGGGCATATCACATCGGCGTAATCCCCAGATAATTATTCTTAACGTTTTAGCTACTTCGACGAAGGTTCTAAGCATGGAAAAGTACACTCCATGCAGGATTATTCATTACACCTTACCTGACTGGGACTCACCGGCACGGTCACTTGCGTATCACTAGCGCGGCTTTTTAACCACATGTCAAAGATAGAGTTGCAATGCATCGCCACGGATTAATTCTATCATATTTTACTTGGTTTGCATTTCGAAATCCCACGATAGAATGGAGAAGGTAGGAAGGACACCTAAGCAATCAGGGTCGTTTTGGCTGAACCTCACGAGCTTCTCTCGTTAGAGGGCATTTCTATGTGTGATTTAGTTGGCTAGCACCAGCGATACTGGGTTACTTAGTCCATGCTGCGAATACTGGTCCGATCAGATGGGTGCTTCCCGCCTCAACAGTGTGGTAAACCTTTTCACTAGTATTTTCTAGTCTGTATTTCCCTTTTAATGCTTCGTCTAGTACCTTTGCCACTTTGAGCACAACGGTTATACTGTATGGTTCATGGATTTCTCTTTCATTTTTAAACTGATAGGAAATATTCTACTGCATTTGTTCATGCCGACGGTTCGCGCCCGTTATGACCTGGAATCTTTGTGGGCCGCAGGACCGCAGTTCGATGAAGCCGTTCATGGAGTCGGTCGATCAACTGAAAGAGAGAACGATACCTATGCAAAGATAGTGGATTGGGATCAACTGATCAGAGAAGTCAGACAGAACCTCCCTAATAGTAGAGACCCTGATCAGCGGGGTTGACTCTCACCGAATTTTTTCACGGTATTGTACACACTGTGGAAATTATTCTTGATATGCTAATACAAAAAAGTTCCTGTATTGCTGTTTTCCAACCACCAGGGTTAGCACTCATTGTTTGCCATGGCGATTTTTTTAATTTCCGATGGCGTGCAATTAATGATTTGGGTAGGGGAAACAATAATGCAAGTATAACGGAAAGACTATCCGAAGTGCCTATCTTTAGATCAGCTTCGACGGGTCTGAACGACGAAGTACTACTTACTTCTAACCCCATAATTGAGCTCACAAATACAGCTTGACAGTGAATTGATGTGTTTACGATAAATAGTTTACAAATTACTGTAGTGATGGGACAAATCAATCAATGTGCTGGCCGGTGAAGTTCGACCCCATATAAGGACGTCGATGAAAGGAGGGCAGCTTTCGGGTCTGTGACAAATGTGGATGACTGGATACACCGTCAGCATGATAAACACCAGCGCTAGATAAAGGAAAAAGTTGTGGCGATAGATTTCTGGATGTTTTCAGTCCAGGTTGCCCTCGTGCATGTTCATACTGCGAAACTTGTCCATTTGAATCACGTGGACTGCAGTCATTTGAATATACCTGCGAGGTCCGCTCAGCGCGGTGAATGAATCTTTCGACAGAGGCCTGGAACGTAAAAAGGAAATGATCGGGTTTTCCTGTAGTGTGCTACGAAGAGAGTGCCTAATCACTTCCAGCCGAAATTTGACAACAAAACAGTCTTCACAAAAAAAGCACTCGTTCGGTCTACTCAGGTGATCTCTTCATGGGGTAATTCTCAATACTAAATCGCCAGAAAAAAGGGTATATGTAGCCGTCCTTCGCCGCACAGACCCCAAGCTGCTCCCCCAAAGAAGTGTGTCATGCATTAACTGTACCCTGTTTCGCTGCCCGATTTAATAGGGACAAAACCTAAAAATGACCAAAAGTTGCCCGGTAACCGTTTTTGGGCACTGACCGAAGTAAAGGTGGATTAGAGAATGTTTTTCAATAAGGCAGCAACATGTAACGAACTAGGTCAAAGTTTATGGGAAGCTGCGCAGAATCGGTCCGAAGTGAACAAAGCTAGTACCCATCATCCGATATGGCATTCAGGCCTTTCAGCAGCGTGAAAATGTCACTCTCCCTCCATAAGATGTCCGGTCAGATGCAAACGGAGAGATTGTTCAAAGTAAGCACTTCGGTACGGGCTCTTCGTACAGGGTTCCATTCACTGACAGCTATTCTACTAAATGAAGCTTAAGCGGGATATTCACGAACAAAAGGGAGATAACATCATACAACAGTTTCATAAGAAGGGTTCCTGTGCATATTCGAAGTTTTATAGCGGTAGTCCACACATGGCAGACAAAAATATCTGGACGGCCTGGTGACAAGGTTCACAAAACCAGTGTGTATTGAGTAATTCTTGTGGAAGACAATCCGACCCCGATTCGCTTCTTTTTTCAACAATAGGTGCGAGAATGCTCAACAAAAACTAAGTTGTGCGAGCCACATGACAACTCGAAGTATCCAGATATACCTAATGGTTCTGAGACCACATGCATGCTGATTTGGGAAAGGAATGGCAGCCAACTTAACAACGTCCAAGTGGGACTTGGACCATGGTGTCTATCCATTTGGACCACTCCTTAGTTTGTCCAAGTTATCTGCAGTACACCCAAACCCGCAAGATGGACCGTTTCTTTGTTGGCTGTGATCTGGTTTGTGATCCGTCCCAGGGGAGGCCAGTCCCTAGGAGAGCGCAAGTCCTTTTATTCCTGTTTTGGATTAATGTGTTTCAAACACGACTTTTCGAAACTAACCGTTTGACTATTTGTACTTTCTGGGTGGCACTTATTACTGCTATGACACTGCAAGTCGAGTTGGATTAGTTGGTTTCCGCATAAACCATAACAACCTTGTTATCCACCTGATCGGATAAACTTGATGGCGAACTGAAAGCCTGCAATAAGTTTCAGTCATCAACAACAAGTAAAGAGAAGAGTGGACCAGGCCGGTTAAGATAGGCACTGGGTTTCGCTCGTTTAGAACACCGCTTGTTTCGTTGGACCATTCTTGAAAAAAACGGACAGAATACCGAAATTTGGCCTCACTTCATTCGGTTACCGGCACTAACCTACACGGCGGTAGCGTCCAGTTTGTTCCATCCTAGTAACTGATCAACCCACATACTTCTCTCGCCGAGTGGCGGATAACGAGCGGCATCATTATTTGGATACCAATCGCGTAATGCGACGGTACGAGCAGTCAGAGAACATGAGTGGAGTTAGTTAATGGCTGAACCAGAATGGTAAATGAATCAACCTATGGATGACAGTTCTGAGAGTCAAGTATATCAACAGTGAAGTTCGCCAGCAGAGGTGGGACTACAAAGCTGTAGCAGCGTTAATAGTTGCACAGATTAGGTCCGCGGATAAATTTAAACGGGACGAATTAAGTTCAGAAATGATCGGTTAGTCCAACTACGGAGGAATGAGACTCACGTTCCCTAAGGAGGTCGACTACTTCAAAGACATCAAACACCAGATTAGGGGCGACACATTAACCCTTCTTGCGAGGTCAGGCTTACTGTACCTAACTCTGAGCAACTTGGTAACTGGCTCAAGAAGGTGAGGAGGTCGTTTAATTTGGCTACCAGTCAATGTGTTTAGCAATCTGCACACGTTCCAGAAATCAGGATGCTGGAATACAGAATTCTCTTTGCAGACAGCTCTCCACACAAGGAACCAATTTTGACGCGCGCTGATGTTTCCTTTGTGGGAAGGGAGGTGTATATGTGCTGGTTATGTAATGCCGGTTACTGATGAGTTTTCGCGCTTTTTTTCAGTGATAGATAGATCCTGTAGAAGGCACAGCAGGAAACAGTACAGAGTCCAATGTACTTTTCCTTCAGCAATGCTCTAATTCATGTTGAAAACTTGTTGAACACAATGCCAGCAACAAGGGGACCAAAGCGGAGAGCCTAAGATGGCGAATTCCATAAGACTCTGAAGAGTACATCGAATTCCCGGAAGCGTTTTCCGCCCTTATGCAGTGGTCACTATACCATTCCACGTTGTGTCCTGGCACTTCTATCCAAGGGTAGGAATTTGGCGTGGACAGAGGTGGAAGGGATTTATAAGGAAGTGCATCGAAGTGCCCAGCTCTTAGAAGCAACGACTAAGAAGAATTTGGGTATCGGAAAAAAGGTACAAATAAGTCAGAAAAAAGCAACAACAACAACGGAGTGCGGCTGATCAGAAAGCATGCAAATAGAAAACTTACCAGTACTCGTTGATCAACAGCCGCCTGTGTTGTACACCAACGGACACAAGCTGAGGGACGCATGCGCAATAAATGGTCAGCTCCACCGATTGTTAACACTTGAATTCCAGGACCCTTTCGTACGCCGGACCCAGTATAGTTAGATTTACTAGGTCTGGTTGAATCGGATGATGTCGAATCACATGTCTGATCGTCATCCGCCAAATCAGGCGTCGAACCGCTGGTATGTATACGCCGTTGTGCAAGCCACAACTGGCGACGGAAGTATAACGCGTGCTTCCGCCCACCCAAACGGCTGTTTGAACCAACGATGAACAGAGTTGGGACATCCGGTAAAGCCAGCAACGGATCGTTTACACATCCACGTGGGCCCTTCAGGCCCATCAACGGGATACCGAAGCAAATAATGCCAGCCACCCCACGCCGTTCGCGGCGCAGTTCTAAAGAGTATAGGTGCAACACAGCAAGAAGGACCAAGATGGAGCCAACACCGAAACCAACCAAGTAGACAGGACATTGTTTGGGCTCCTCGAGCTAAAGGGGATGTAAGAAAACCGACGAATAAAACCGCTGGCCCTAATCAGAAAGCGAAGTGGAGAAATCTATAATCGTCAATTGAAAACACATGATCCCAACAGACCTTATTCTAGAGGTCAGCTATCTGAATCTCGCGAAGCGGTTGCATGCGATTCATCTTGCAACCTTGCAGCAATCGCTCACGGCCAAATATAGCCGATTTCGGTGGAACGCAGAAAAGACCAAAATTAGGGTGTCGAAACAGTTGGATAGTGGAACACAATATATGATGCGGACACCACAGTGGGATGTAACACCAGAAATAAGTATGGTAACTGAAAGGAAGCATACATTTTCGAAAAAAAGATAAGCGTGTGGGATACGGTACTCCTCCGCGAGACAATTCTCATGGCAGAAAAATTTTCCACTGCCATTCCCGTGAGAAAAACCTATTCGAAGTAGAAGAGCTACGCTATCAGTCTACGGGTGGGGCTGAATTACTCCTCACGGGGAAACACCACAAGATAAATGCTTTCCTGATCCAACTTTAAGTTAAGCGGTTAGAATAGCACATTCTGTGGATCAATTGTCCTGCATTATCAGTACGTACGTACGTAACTCCCAGAACAAGCACCCGTTCTGACTTCACAAAGTAGATTGGTGTCGGGCAGGGTTGTTCTTTCCCCACACTTTTCTTCAAACTTGTTGACGATATGCCTCTTGAAGCTTCCTTTACCGCTTCTAAGCATCCCTCACAAACGTTTAGTATCAAGACGGTATTGCTCTTTTCAGATCAGATATGTCAAAAATGTGAACCATACTGAGTAACCCATGCAATTCCGAAGCACTGTTTCGCACATGTTTCACACTTGTTAGGCCTCACTGTAAGCCTGGGTGGGATCAAACGAGAGCACCATGTTTCCAAAACAACCCATTGACTTGTGAAACTAATTCAATTAACTTGGCAGTTGTGTAAGTCCAGGCGGAGTGGTGGAAGGCAAAATTACCCTTCGAAGCGGGAAGACTGTGGTGGAAATGGCACCGCAATGATATTCATTTGTACAACCTAATTGGCGGCGGTCTAATCAATACTTTGATGTGGATTGGGAACGTGCGCTCAGAACCCAGGAAGATTTTCATTACTTGGCGGTTATCGGAGAGGTATCCGCCAGGTCTACAGAGAACAGTAGCTTGGCAATTGTAAGATACCCCACGATAAATGAGCTAGCTAGATTCAACTAACCGTCGACTCCCCGGGGCAAGGCATGAAAATAGCTACTGAAGGGGCAGACACCGCTGGGTCACACAGTCAATAGCGCCTCCCCATCAAAGCTACAGCCTTCAGCGTGTAGGAATTTCGATTTTTGCCTGCTTAGAATACAATGACTATTCGGCGTCTTTAGAGTAGTTCAGACGCACCTGTGGTGCGTCACTGTGCTCCCAGTGTTTTCCATGTTACAGGTAAAAACTGTAGCCGCTACAACCAAAGTACCCCTGATAGGCCGTTTGTAGTTAATCGAAATAAGAGATGACGGACACGTGGTTCTGATAGCAGTTCGATTAACCGTTAAGTAGTCTCTAACCAAATGGTAAAAGCGAGTTTCCATGGAGACCTTGGTGTTTCATAGGTTCTTACTGAACGGTAGTGTGCAGGCAGCGCTTTAGTACTTTCAGTAATGGACCAGAACTAGCTACTATGTAAGTGTCAAAAGACCACCGCGTGATCCCTCCGCTCAACAGCAGCGTTTAACACCGTTGTGTTGTTCATTAAAAAAGATGAACTGGACACAGGAATGCAAGTGGTAAACATAAAGGATTGCAAAAGTACCTAAGAGATGGCTACACTTTAAGACTCAGGTAGTGGATGGTCTAGAATAAGTACGGACCTTCCATCTGAGGTAAAAGAAAGTCAGTAGAATCAGTCTAACTGGTGTACGGCGTCCGACAATGGGTTCGAGTACCGACCTGTTATAACTCTTGTAAACGCGTAGATAGCACTTTGATGATTCTAACACTCCCCAAATATTAATCCCCCCAAGGTCATACTGGTCCGTTCCAGGATATTTTGAGAGCGTCCCAAAACTGACTTCAACGTGTACCGGGCCATCTTCCTGCGCGCACGGAATTGCTCGGAAAACAGATCAACGGCAGCCTGACCAGCCACTGGATATGAAGAATGCATTGCTTGGAGCGAGCGCCCAGGCGCATGAATGGCAGCAAACAGTCAGTACTGTGTCGGCATAGTGAATCGCGTTCGCTCCGTTTATTCCGATATTTTGAACAACAGAACTGTAGGAACTTATACATATGCGTGTAGCGATTTCGTGGACTGTGAAATGAAGTCGGCCAAGGTGCGTTGCTCAAAAACAGAGTAGACTTGAACTCAGGAGTTGCAAAACCAGTGTGCCAACCTGTATTACGCCCAGGTTCTAAAACATACCAGACCGATTCCAGGTTGTGGTGGGAACATTTTGATGGACACAATCAATTCAAGACTTCTTCCGACAAACCTTAAATGAACGAGAATCGACTAAAACTAGGATTAATAAGAAACGCAAAACTCACAAGTGTAAGCACCCGTCTAATGTAAAGGCGTAGACGCAAGCGCATCATATCACATGCTTGCTCTTCCGGTGTCTCAACGCTAACGCGACCAATGTTGCCAAGATCATGCAGTATGTTGCAAAGTCTACTGCTGTTGGAAGAAGCCGGGAACGTCAGACACGCCAGTACTGGCTGATCAGGAGAGAGTTCGACGACATTGGGGCGGCGGGCGAGAATGGAAGAAGAATGAAGCCCAGGCCGGGCGGACAGAGTTGTTTGGACCTGAAAGATGATGAAACATGAACATCCACTAATTAGAAGCCAATTTAAGTGCTCAAAAACACGACAAATTATTGATAGTAAATAATAAGATAATCGTTCAGCTGTAACACTCTTCGGGTGCCTAGCTACCATGCTACCCGAAGGAAACACGAGGGCTGGGATACTGCCAGGTTCCCCAAACCTAGACAGTGGAAGTCGAGAGGCAGACGTCGGGTTCGAACCACGGACCTTCCGGTCTGTAAATTCGCGCCACCTCGCCCCGGTGATATCGTCAGTGGGGGGTCGGATGGGTCATTACCCCGTAATACGAAATTCTGAGGGTAAGTGATGTGCGCCGTTACTGATGAACACATTGGAGAAATAGTTGCACTGTTTGCTCAGCACATACAGTGTGAGGTCATGCTCCTGGAAATGCAGTCATTTGACATGCTCAGAAACAAAGCTCATGTGGGTTGGTGTCAGGGAATCCGTAAACAAGCAATCAGAAAGCGAGTGTTCGATTGTGCAACGGGGGCCTCCACTGAAGAATGTGCACAACACGAGAAGCTGCAGCTGCGTTGGTTAGGCCACGTACTGCGTATACCGAACCAGTGTTTTCCGAAAAGAGTCCTGTTTTCCGTGCCCTATTCAGGAAGGTGTACACAGAAAGGTGGCCAACCCTATGACCGGCAGGAGTATGAGATAGATTACAAAACGTTTGGGTGTGTCGGTTCTACTCGTCTTGCAGGGTGGGGACCGTGTGATTTCCATCAAGTTTGGTTGCAGACGCTCCAACATATGGCTGCCAACCGATGTCAATGGCGTTCTTGTTGTCAGTTTCTATCCAGATTGTCTGATTGAGTGTCTGAAGGTGTAGGTACCTCGGAATGATTGTAGTAAGCCAGTACTAATTCCATTCGCTGTCTACTTTCATTTTTTTCACAATAAGGCTTTCAAATAAATCATAGTTGTACAGCAGCGAAGTATTAGCGTTGAACACCTACATCACTGTGTCGATGATTAAGATGATGACTAATTATGTTAATTCTACCTGTGCAAATCGAGAAACTCACCAAGGACTGAAGCTTATTGCCGGGTGGACCAGAGGAGACAAGATGTAGCAACTCGTGCACAGGGGAATCTGGTGGCCATTGTGAGATCGACTCACGGGATACGAGCGTTTTGTTTAAAATACTGAGTAGTGTTGTCACCTAGAGGATAGAAAGTGCACCTACTTGAGTAAGCGATGAATTGCAAGCGAGTTATGCGATTATACTAAAAGAGAAATGGATTACAACTTAGCATGTGCTCAAAGATTTGATTAACACATGATTGGTATTCCGTTGAAAAATATCCTAAAACACCCAGCTCCAATAATGCAAGATAAAGCAGACAATCCACAAAGGAGGCAGATACCGCCTTCAAGAGTTCATTTGGCCTTGTACAGACAGAAATCTGTATAAAATAGGCCTGTACGAAGCGTTTGAGATACCATACAACGCCATTTCACACAAATCAATAGGACCAACCAGTTAGAAGGCAGAATAAAGCCCATGACTATAATTAAACCACTCCAGTACCATTATCAAGTTCCTTAGACGCCATGTTCATTTTTTATGCCTCTACAAGCGCTACAGTTGCTCACCACTGGGACGACCATGCAGTCGTTTCCGGCCGACATTAAGCAAAAACCATCGCATGTATCCACAGGAAATTGCACGAGTTTTCCTCTCGGTTTACCTTAACACTACTTGCAATGCCGTGTGCCGTTTAGCACTGGCATTGGTTCTTGAAGTACTCACTTTTCTATGGCCAAACACCGTTAAATTTGGTCACAGTTTTCGTCGATTAGCATTGTGCAGAATAATGTATTGAACAGTACCCCTATACCGTCGGTTGACCTGGTATGGCCCAGTCGCAATTCTTTTCGTGAGATTCCTTCGGATAATCTGGATTTGCAGGATACCAACTTCTACTGGATGGGAAGAATAAACAACTACTTTTGTGCGATCATTTTACCCCAGGTTTCAGGTAAAATGAGGCCCTTTGTCGATCCACCATCGCGGGAAAAATGTTTTAAAGATCTTACTGCGTGCTGAAGAACTAGAACAGATTATCTGCACTGGTCTGTTGGATCTTTTACGACTACGAATGCTTGCATGTTATGTAAGGATGCCTTGTGAATCAACAGAGAGAGAGAGAGAGAGTTCCAATCGGAAGACCGATCTACGGTATACTAGGATGTGCGGGCTCGTTCACAAACTCAAAAAACTACATCATGAACAACCAGTTCGTTGGTCATGTTAGGTAAAATTCGTGTCCAGATTGTTGTTGTGACTTGTGGACGCTATGATCTTTCCTTTGCACACACTACGTCCACCCACCACAGTTTCGCTTAAATGCTTATAACATCTGCCTCCGGTCAACCAAAAAGGGATGAATTGAACTGGAGAATCTGTGGTGTTTTTGGGCACCCATCCGTACCGATTAATTATCCTTAATGACTGCATTGATACTGAGTTGCTCTAAGATGTATCTGTAGAAATTACCCTTGAGTTGTCATTTAAAAAATACGGGATACTGTGCGCATGATTGGATTAATGGCTGGACTACGTTGAGATGGCACCACATAACTTCGTTTATCTAGTTGCAGAAGTCTTTATTTGTAGATTTGGACAGCGCACAAAACTAGTTGCATCCGCAGTGAGAAGTTCCCGCTCAGGCATACGGTCAAGTCTGATGAAAACAGGTGCAGTTCGATCGACTTTTGGTTCCCATTAACCAACTGACCTGACTTCTTCGGAAAAGGCGTACCTAACATAACTGTATAGAAGGTCCACCCCAAATTTCAAGAAAATGGGTATGGATGCGTATGAGAAATTACGCCACAATACTTTGCTTTTTAAATAGATTCCAAAATGACAGTTTCGTGTTTGAAGAATACGGTGCGGCCAACCGACAATGGAGCAGAATACATTCAACTGCAAGTGGATTCGTATGCCGGTGAACCGCGGAACTTGCCAAGTTGACTGAACATAGAATTACTCGGAGTCAGGCAACGCGAGACAGTACATATGTACACTACAATGCACTTGTAAGTCCATAAACGAAAGCCTCAAACGGGAAGTGTCCCACTGGCGCATGGCTTTATTATCTCACTTGGACATCATCTTCAATTCTGTTGTGCTGCATACTGTCAGAACACACTGTTGCAGACTTATGAAATCTACGTTTCACAAATTCATTATCAATGGACTGAGTGATAGGTATTTTAATTTGGTGTGGGACTGCAATGAGTTTCAGTGGGCGGTGAGCAAACCGTACAGATGAGTACCCAGAAATATAAATTTCTCCACAAGTGAGTTACCGTAGGATTGGTGATACCAACGACGTTGAGGGTTTTATAGTGGGCTCTCTGCTCCAGGCCCAAATGTCGTGCTAACTTTAGCCGAATGTCGCTAGCTCACACTGAATGCAGCTTGGTCCATTCGTATCTACGCCGTTGGACTTTTTAGCTGCAAAAACACCTGAGCAAGTACATGCCCACTGCTAAAGGATATAAGAGATCCATCGAAATATTCTGATTACTGCGTTACGCGCTATGATATCTGAATTGTAGGAAAAATTCCCACCATGCTACTGGATGCGTTGCAGAAGCAATTAACAACTGAGTTATTGCGAACAGCTCAAACTATAGAAAAGTTGGCAACAGATTAACTAGCTATTGGGATACAGACACAGCACCGAGCCTAATGCTTCTGAGGGCCTAAATGCAAAAGATCACCGTAATTTGAGAGACAGTCTCTAACGGGCAAAAAGTAGTAATCAAAGCCAACTATCTGCTGGTACCTTTAGACGTACCTTATTCTGATGCCACAGTCGTACGTATCCATCGCAATATAGACGCAAACAGTTGGGAGGAAGTCGGCAGAGGCACCATTTGTGCATTGCGAAGCAGCTCTCGAGACACTAAAATGAAAAACCGGAAAGTAGACGCATCAGAGTCGAGCAAACAAACTCGTCATGGCAGCTGCGAAACGGTTAAAGTTAAACAAACTTATTGGTTGTCGGTCTGTCCGCCGAGCCTCACAGTTGCATTGCAGCTGTTTTATCCCCAACAAAGGTGATATCGTAATGATAATAATAATAATAATCGTTCAGCTGTGCCATTCTTTTGGTGCCTAGCTGCCGTGCCACACGAAAGAGGCAGGAGGGCTGGGATACCGCCAAGTTGCCTAAACCTAGACAGGGGAAGTCGAGAGATAGAGGTCGGGTTCGAACCACGGACCTTCCGGTCTGTAAATTCGCGCCCTGACCACTGAGCCATCTCGCCCCGATGATATTGTCAGTGGGGGGTTGAGTGGGTCATTCACGCGTAATACCAAATTCTGAGTGTAAGTGATGTGCACCGTTTCGCATAAACACATTGAAGAGATAGTTGTACTGTTTGCTCAGCCTAAAGGGTTCTTTTTCGAAAAACTTCAACTCCCACCCCCATTAGGTAACCATGATTAACTGTCACTGAAATCAAGTTGATCCAGACTGCATATCTACTCTAATGAGTGGTTGGGACGGGAAAACTTATCGTTTGGTGACTCGCCCTCCGACTGTTTGGCGTTTGAAAGATGCGCAAACTGGCTTTTCCCTAAATTAACATCGGTACCCCTGGGTTTTGGCTCCGTTTTTCTTGGTCCGTTAGTTTGATGGAGCTCTATTCGGAATGGTGTGTAGATTGATTCATATACCCATTGTTCCAAGTTGATAAGGAATATTACTGATCTTGTCAAATATTTAAGTGTGGAGATCTTCTAACACAATGAACTCTTTGGCTGTTGAAAGACCACAAAGAATACCAATGGAAAATCACGTGTTTAGGATAGACAAAGAGAGGTGGAAAATGCAAGTTTAAACAAATAAGGATCACTGAAAATGAGCTGAGACGGATTTCTACGATTTTTTAGGGACCCGAAGGATTTATATTTGCACGCCTGACTCGTTAAGCGAATCAAACTGTTCAAGCAATGTGCTTCAACATTGGCTCAATTTCCTCTGCACACAACATATTTATGAGGAATAAATTCCCTAAAATCTTGTAGCTACGAAAGAAGAACCGTGAACCTTCTACAGAAACGATACATCTCGCATGTAAAAGATACCTAAGTGAACGTGAAGAGATCCTGTGGAATCGCAAAAACAGTATGGAAAGGAAGTAAAAGAAGTCATTACGGAATATAACTGATGTGCGGTGGTACTCACCCATGACAGAGAAGCGAATGCGTTTCGAATGAATCTAGCAATCCTACGCGTTCGAAGATGTTTGCAGAATTGCTGTCTATGAAAGCAGGCAAAATCGGATAGATTCGTAAACTGAGAGGAGGATGGTGAAGGATGAAGGAAAAAGCAACACATACACTATTGTTTTCAATTGACTCTTGAAGAACACACTTTTCTAACAGGCGAACAAGCTTGCGTTGTACACTGTTTTCAGCACAGATCCACTCGCTTCGAGGCAAACCAGGGTTGGGTACTTTGGGGCCGACTTAATTATCAACAAAGGATAACGTACTAGACTCGGTTTCTGGTTCTGGCGAGAGATGTAGGTCCGTGGTATTTGTGGTACATTTTGATACAGGCGAACGAACGGAGTTATCGTTATAGGATTCTACATCTACCCAGACGTCATCCAGCTGACCAGAAAACCTAATAAGATGCAGTATAACGTTAAACGACCAAAATGAGTTACTCAGGTGTCGTTGAGTTCATAGTGCCATCGGAGAACAGCAATTCTCCCTGATCCTTAGGGTCCAGTGCACCGATAGAGGCCGAATAGGAGTGATCCTCCAGAAAGTCCAAGCGGGTTTTTTCCAAGTGATACAAATCCATTAGAAGGCTGTGGGTGGAAAACAACATCAGGTTACAAAACGAAAGCCCTATTACAGTGCAGTGTATTGTAAATAACTGTACTGTACTGTAGTTGTGAAGTTGGCCTTGCTATACATTAGTATATCACAGGTATAACGAGAAATCACTTAAACTTGGGTCATGTCTCAAGGTGCAACTGTGTGCAACTGTAGAATACAGTTGCACACATCTGATCTCTTTTCGTTTCAAGTACGCAGTTAACGAAACTTGGTTGTTGAATAGGGTATTGGTAGGAAATAGTAGCGGGTTGGTAAGAGGGCATCATACAAGCTGACGTGTCAATCGAAGATGAGCTAACAGAACGCTCAGCTCACTAATAGGACAGAACAACACGGCTGAAAAGTTTGACGGCCTCTCACTAATGCTGTCTCGAAACGAACACGAATAAGTTAACGGTGTCGTGTTTCCTGATGCTAAGGACGATGTTTTCAGAGGTAGTCATCCGGTAAACTTTGACATCAGGAGTGGGGATATCAGTATCCACAAATTAGTGCGTATCTAAAACGGGGCTACATTACATTAACACTAACCCCTTAAGACGTCTGGACCCTCAAAGCACGCTAGGACGTCAATCCATCGCCCTAACTGACAAACCTTGCACCAAGCAGTTCGGCAAAAGAAATTCAACAGTACAGTGGTACTACCTGCTCGAATCTGATTTCCTTTAACATGGATGAGGTTCCCGTAATCTAATACGTCTGGACCCTCAAAGCACGCTAGGACGTCAATCCATCGCCCTAACTGACAAACCTTGCACCAAGCAGTTCGGCAAAAGAAATTCAACAGTACAGTGGTACTACCTGCTCGAATCTGATTTCCTTTAACTTGGATGAGGTTCCCATAATCCCCGTGGCTAAACGCATTGCAAAAATCGGAGGCAAATCGATGTCAGAGGCGTTCGTGATGTCAGTTCTTTTCCAAATTTTCTGATTGAGTGTCTGGAGGTGTGGGTACCTCAGAATTTTTGTGACAAACACACCTCACACACCTTTATTTTCACTCCAATGCCTTAAATATAATTAGATAAACTTTGTGATTGTAGTGAGGCATCACTACCAACACTGAATTTTCTGTATCCGATGACGATGATGATTACGTTGAATACGCAGACGAAATTGTTCCACTTTCCGATGAAGAGCAGGAAGGGCAATCATTGCTATGAAAATTGACCAAGGATATCTAGTTCTTCAGCGTGTGTCCCGCCCATAAATTGCAGCCAAGCTTCGGGACGTGGTCTTCGAACATTTCTCCAAGATTTTGATGAGGGAGGCCGGAGGTTGTGGAGTGCTACAGTGCATTAAGCTACTACGGGTCATCCGTACCGGTAGGATATGTGACACAACACGCAAGAGATCCCTGACTTTACATTCCGCCGAGGCATCTCCTATATTCGCAAAAGAATATGCGCTGCGAAGAACCCCCAGTATGCTCCGCCCGGGTCCGGCGCCTAAGGACCATGAAATGCAGCGTTATACAATGGTGCCACTCAAAAGGAAACCGGACGCCGGGAAAACCAACCTCTGTATGTTAGGAGGAAAGTCGTGTGCGGCTCGGGCGACAAGTGTTAAGTTTGTCTCCGCCAACGTGTGGAGTTTGACGCCAAAACGAAACAATTTGAAGATTTGAATCAGTGTTATCCAGACTGACGTTGGTTTAACCAAGACAAGGCTGAGAGATTGCCGACTAAGAATTTTCCAAGTTAACACATCGGTACTATAAATGGCGTAAGCACTGAATACCCACCTCTTATACGTTAATAAGATCCCTGATGGTTTATCACAAACGGTCACATGTCGCACGGCTATATCAAAAGCAGTCAGTACGTTGGTGAGCACCATCAGAGTCCGCGAAACTGTAACACCAGCTGGACTTGAAGACTCCAGGAATCCACTCTCAAAATAAGGTGAACCATGAAGGGGATTTCACCATGCGCATTATTGACTAGAAGTGCAATAATGTGGTCCCCTTCTGTCTTTTTGTGGAGGAGTGCTGAGTCGTTAAGCACATTCGTACAGACATGGCGCATTAATGGAAAGCGGATATTATGGCTTGACTCTTCATCCAATGAGATCGAAGACAGCCCATACAACATGGAGATCCAGGAGTGTCAGCTGCTCGCTCGAACACACTCCTCCGCATATCAGGCAACAGAGGCTTTCAACCTACCGAAACGCGTGGCAACAGCCCACGGTGACGGGTAAAATTTAACGGAGTCCAGAGTTATTCACATTCTGTGTCATTCGAGCGAACGGAAAGCCCTTTGGTCCCATGGGTATCACCGCTGATACTATACCACCTGGCGATCGTTTTGGCCCTAATCCTTGTCTCTATTCAGTAGTGTTTCACCAGTGTGTAATGAAGCTATTACAAAACTGTTCTGCAAGGGAGGTGACAAACAAATCCTATGAAATACGGAACCGTTAGCTTGATCTCTGTCATCAGGAAGAGCACATGGCCGTGTACGAAACGACTGTCGCAGCAGCACATTGCGAAAAACGGTCTGCAAGCACCGAAACATCATGTATACATGGCTAACATACCTTACGTTGAAAAACTGCTGCCAGTCCCCGAAATATGTCAGCCAACAGATCAAGACTATTAAGTTAACCCCACATCCATAGACTTCAGCAAGCGTTCGACAGAGGAGTGCCGCATGGATTAGTGCCGGTACCAAAAGCTGGATCAAGATTGCTCAATAATTGCTGAAGACTTTGAGTCCGAAGGTCGGTGGTTCAAACCCGACCTCCGCCTTTTTACTCCCCTGTCAAAGTTTGGGCAGTCCGGCAGTATCCCAGCCCTTGTGCTTCCTTCGGGAGGCATGGCAGTTAGGCTCCGAAAGGGCGATTCAGGGTGTCGTATCCCGATAGATGAGGATGGGAAATCTATTCAGAACAGGTTAGATCAGAAGACTGGGCGGCAGAGAATAGGGTACCGATAAAACCTGTTAAAAGTCATTATCTATACACAGAACACTGAGCGACACATACCCCTACATTCCTTGTACCTACATACCCATCCCCGTGTATGTTCCCATACCCATTCCATGAGTGGTTGACTGAAGCCGCATGAGTCCGAGCTTTGTTACCCATACATCGTTACGAGTAGCGATCTTAAGACGACGACGGACATAGCAATCCTGGCGGATGACTTGAAAGCCCGATATGGACGACTCATCACCATCATCGACAGTATGACATGAAATATTCAACAATAACGCTTGGCAGCCGTACAATCAAGATTTATTTGGAAACCTTACTGCCAAAGGAATAAAAGTGGATGTGGAAGGGACATGGAGCTAGTCCACTGTAATAATTCCGAGGTGCCTACACCTCCAAATACTCGTTCGGGCAATCTGGATAGAAACTGATAACAAGAACGCCATAGATATCGACTAGCAGCCATATAGTGCAGCACCACCAACCACGCTCGGTGAGGTTCACGCGCTTCCCATCCTGCAAAACGAGTAGCACCGGTAGCACCCAAACTTTTCGTTATCTATTTCACACCCCTCGCCAGCTTAAGGGCTGGTCACCACTCTGCACACGCCACTCTGAATTGGGCATGGAACAGGGGACTCTTCGGAAACGATCGTTCAGCATACTCAATACAGGACCTCATGCTGGACACATACTTCTGCGGAAATTTCCATTGGATTACGGATTGATTCTGATGGTTTATCACAAATGATCACATGTCGCACGGCTATATCAAAAGCGGCCAGTAGCTTGGTGAGCAACATCGGAGTCCGCGAAACTGTAACACCAGCTGGACTTGAAGACTCCAGGAAACCACTCTCAAAATAATGTGTACCATAAAGGGGATTTCACCATGCGCATTATTGACTAGAAGTGCAATAATGTGGTCCCCTTCTGTCTTTTTGTGGAGGAGTGCTGAGTCGTTAAGCACATTCGTACAGACATGGCGCATTAATGGAAAGCGGATATTATGGCTTGACTCTTCATCCAATGAGATCGAAGACAGCCCATACAACATGGAGATCCAGGAGTGTCAGCTGCTCGCTCGAACACACTCCTCCGCATATCAGGCAACAGAGGCTTTCAACCTACCGAAACGCGTGGCAACAGCCCACGGTGACGGGTAAAATTTAACGGAGTCCAGAGTTATTCACATTCTGTGTCATTCGAGCGAACGGAAAGCCCTTTGGTCCCATGGGTATCACCGCTGATACTATACCACCTGGCGATCGTTTTGGCCCTAATCCTTGTCTCTATTCAGTAGTGTTTCACCAGTGTGTAATGAAGCTATTACAAAACTGTTCTGCAAGGGAGGTGACAAACAAATCCTATGAAATACGGAACCGTTAGCTTGATCTCTGTCATCAGGAAGAGCACATGGCCGTGTACGAAACGACTGTCGCAGCAGCACATTGCGAAAAACGGTCTGCAAGCACCGAAACATCATGTATACATGGCTAACATACCTTACGTTGAAAAACTGCTGCCAGTCCCCGAAATATGTCAGCCAACAGATCAAGACTATTAAGTTAACCCCACATTCATAGACTTCAGCAAAGCGTTCGACAGAGTGCATCAGAACACCCTCCCAACCCTGATCCAGGAAGAATCTTTCGCCGTCCTTGATATACTGGACAACCGACTTCCTGAGGCTGTCAATAAAAGTTCAAGCCCGATCTCCACCTTTTTACTCCCCTGTCAAGGTTTGGGCAGTCCGGCAGTATCCCAGCCCTTGTGCTTCCTTCGGGAGGCATGGAAGTTAGGCTCCGAAAGGGCGATTCAGGGTGTCGTATCCCGATAGATGAGGATGGGAAATCTATTCAGAACAGGTTAGATCAGAAGACTGGGCGGCAGAGAATAGGGTACCGATAAAACCTGTTAAAAGTCATTATCTATACACAGAACACTGAGCGACACATACCCCTACATTCCTTGTACCTACATACCCATCCCCGTGTATGTTCCCATACCCATTCCATGAGTGGTTGACTGAAGCCGCATGAGTCCGAGCTTTGTTACCCATACATCGTTACGAGTAGCGATCTTAAGACGACGACGGACATAGCAATCCTGGCGGATGACTTGAAAGCCCGATATGGACGACTCATCACCATCATCGACAGTATGACATGAAATATTCAACAATAACGCTTGGCAGCCGTACAATCAAGATTTATTTGGAAACCTTACTGCCAAAGGAATAAAAGTGGATGTGGAAGGGACATGGAGCTAGTCCACTGTAATAATTCCGAGGTGCCTACACCTCCAAATACTCGTTCGGGCAATCTGGATAGAAACTGATAACAAGAACGTCATCGATATAGACTAGCAGCCATATAGTGCAGCACCACCAACCACGCTCGGTGAGGTTCACGCGCTTCCTATCCTGCAAAACGAGTAGCACCGGTAGCACCCAAACTTTTCGTTATCTATTTCACACCCCTCGCCAGCTTAAGGGCCGGTCACCACTCTGCACACGCCACTCTGAATTGGGCATGGAACAGGGGACTCTTCGGAAACGATCGTTCAGCATACTCAATACATGACCTCATGCTGGACACATACTTCTGCGGAAATTTCCATTGGATTACGGATTGATACACAGGATCGAGGCTTTTGCCAAAGTTTCCCGGGTCGGTTTTGTTCTTGTCGGTCAGTGGCTGTCGTTCACCTGAAAGGCACAAGTGAAAAAAGGGTGTAGCACTGCTCTTTATGTTCTCAGCGCCGNTTTTCAGATTTTCTGACTGAGTGTCTGGAGGTGTGGGTACCTCAGAATGTTTGTGATAAACACACATCTCATACACCTTTATTTTCACTCCAATGCCTTAAATATAATTAGATAAACTTCGTGATTGTGCGGTAGTGAGGCATCACTACCAATACTGATGTTTCTGTATCCGATGACGATGATGATGATGTTGAATACGCAGAAGAAGTTGTTCCACTTTCCGACGAAGAGCAGGAAGGGCAATCATTGCTATAAAAATTGACCAAGGATATCTATTTCTTCAGCGTGTGTCCCGCCCATAAAGTGCAGCCAAGCTTTGGGACGTGGTCTTCGAACATTTCTCCAAGATTTTGATGAGGGAGGCCGGAGGTTGTGGAGTGCTACAGTGCATTAAGCTCCTAGGGGCCATCCGTACCGGTAGGATATGTGATACAACACGCAAGAGATCCCTGATTTTACATTCCGCCGAGGCATCTCCTATATTCGCAAAAGAATATGCGCTGCGAAGAACCCCCAGTATGCTCCGCCCGGGTCCGGCGCCTAAAAACTATGAAATGCAGCGTTATGCAATGGTGCCACTTAAAAGGAAACCGGACGCCGGGAAAACCAATCTCTGTACTATGGATTTGAGTGCGGTTAGGAGGAAAGTCGTGTGCGGCTCGGGCGACAAGTGTTAAGTTTGTCTCCGCCAACGTGTGGAGTTTGACGCCAAAACGAAACAATTTGAAGATTTGAATCAGTGTTATCCAGACTGACGTTGGTTTAACCAAGACAAGGCTGAGAGATTGCCGACTAAGAATTTTCCAAGTTAACACATCGGTACTATAAATGGCGTAAGCATACCCACCTCACCTCTTATACGTTAATAAGATCCCTGATGGTTTATCACAAACGGTCACATGTCGCACGACTATATCAAAAGCAGTCAGTACGTTGGTAAGCACCATCAGAGTCCGCGAAACTGTAACACCAGCTGGACTTGAAGACTCCAGAAATCCACTCTCAAAATAAGGTGAACCATGAAGGGGATTTCACCATGCGCATTATTGACTAGAAGCGCAGTAATGTGGAGGTCCCCTTCTGCCTTTTTGTGGAGGAGTGCTGAGTCGTTAAGCACATTCGTCAACAGACATGGCGCATACATGGACAGTAGATATTATGGCTTGACGCTCCATCCAATGAGATCGAAGACAGCCCATACTACATGGAGATCCAGGAGTATCAGCTGCTTACTCGAACACACTCCTCCACATACCAGGCAACAGAGGCTTTCAACCTACCGAAACGCGTAGCAACAGCCCACGGTGACGGGTAAAATTTAACGAGGTCCAGAGTTACATTCTGCGTCATTCGAGCGAACGGAAAGCCCTTTGGTCTCATGGGTTTCACCTCTGACACTATACCACCTGCCGATCGTTTTTGCCCTAATCCCAGTAGCGTTTTATCAGTGTGTAATGAAGCTTTTACAAAACTGTTCTGCAAGGGAGGTGACAAACAAATCCTATGAAATACGGAACCGTTAGCTTGATCTCTGTCATCAGGAAGAGCACATGGCCGTGTACGAAACGACTGTCGCAGCAGCACATTGCGAAAAACGGTCTGCAAGCACCGAAACATCATGTATACATGGCTAACATACCTTACGTTGAAAAACTGCTGCCAGTCCCCGAAATATGTCAGCCAACAGATCAAGACTATTAAGTTAACCCCACATCCATAGACTTCAGCAAAGCGTTCGACAGAGTGCATCAGAACACCCTCCCAACCCTGATCCAGGAAGAATCTTTCGCCGTCCTTGATATACTGGACAACCGACTTCCTGAGGCTGTCAACAAAGGATCTGAGCGACTATATACCGGAAGAGGAGTGCCGCATGGATTAGTGCCGGTACCAAAAGCTGGATCAAGATTGCTCAATAATTGCTGAAGACTTTGAGTCCGAAGGTCGGTGGTTCAAACCCGACCTCCGCCTTTTTACTCCCCTGTCAAAGTTTGGGCAGTCCGGCAGTATCCCAGCCCTTGTGCTTCCTTCGGGAGGCATGGCAGCTAGGCACCGAAATGGTGTTACAGCAGAACGATTTGATACTGAGGTGACAGGATCTGAAGGGTCACATGTGCAGTCTATTCACTTTGCAGTTTCGATTACTTTTATTCGGTTTGATTCCCACACACAAAGTGCATCATTTTTATCACACGCATCTGAGTTGTTTTCATTTACCTGGACATTTGACCAGTTCTCAATCAATCAAGCATTTTACATCTCGCAGTATTCATCAACCTTACTCGAAAGATATATTCTCTTGGTGATAACGTCAGTGTAGAATCCCCATTCGAAAACTTGACCAAAGGGAAGTTGAGTATTCTCCGGCAGTCAACAATGTACACGCCGTGATGCGCTGCTTCTTGGGTGAGGCGTTTGTTTATTGCCACAACTTCCACTTTCGGTCCAAATGTGAACGAAGTTCCTGAGTCAACCAGAACCCGATTTTCGCCTTGAAAAACGACTTCTTCACCCACGGTAATTCTGAAAACAATGAAAAATCGTGACAGATCCTGCATATGGACGAGGTAGAGAATCACTTTGGGCGAAGCTCCATTTCAAGAAAGGTTGTTCATTGCAAAATGACTCCTACTTGTGCAATCTCCCGTAAGACAGATCCGGAAG